GGGGACCTTGAGGCCCGCCAGCCATTAAAATCAAGTTTAGAAGTCGTGTGAAATTACAGTTTAGGGCTGCTGTAATGTGCTTAAGCCGGCAATGCCCGTTTAAACACAATCCCTGGATATCATATCCTTGCAGTTCTTATTTTTACTTCCTCCTCTGCCTCCTGTCCTACCTCCTGCACATGTTGACCCTCATCCGGGGAAGAGGGGGACACAGCAAGTGATGAGTTATATTTATTATTTTTTAAAATGTGCGAGGTCACCTGCTCTGGGCTCTCGCAGAGGTAGTGTGGGATCCCTGGGAGTAGTGCGGGATCAAAGGCAGGGAGGCCATGGCTCTGGGCTGGGCCAAAGCATGGTTCTAAGCTGCCTGCCCGTGTAACGGTGCCCGCCGCCGCCCGCGCTGCCCCGCCTGAGCGCCGCTGCGCTCGCTGCCCTCCGCAGAGCAGCTCAGGTGCTGGCAGAGTCACCGCTGCTCTGTCAGTCTGATCCCTTCAGCCTGGTTTCAGCTTTTACCAAAGTAGCTGAAACCAGGCTACTCAGCAGGCAGGGCAGTTGCTGTGCCTGTGTGATGGGACTCTTAGTTGTTGAATAACTAAGTTTAGTGCCTTGCTCCTGCTGAGGCTGAGAGGTAACTGGGTGTGTAACTGGCTGGGGAATTAGTGCACGTCCCACTGGTTGCATCTGGCTGGTACGTGCAGAGGTTAACTTTTGTGTCGCACGGTGCTCTGCAAACATGCACATTTACTGAACGTGCACTGCCTGGTGTCGCCGTCAGCTGTATATGCTCCCCATCTCCACCCAAAGTTGTGAGTGTTGTAGAAAATGGGGCCTAATTTGGTGTATATTTTGATATTTTATTTTACCATCTATTTTGAAGGAACAATTTCTAACAATTAGTGAACTCGTGGAGGAATTTGTCTTAAGACACAACTTTTTTTTTTTTTTTTTTTCCCCTCCTCTCAGAGAAAGGAGTTAGTTCTCTTTTATTAAAAAGTTTATTTCTACTTTTTCATGCAGGTGATCTGTTTCCGTGTTTATGTACGTGTATCTCTTCTAGGCAACTAATTCTGCAAAAATCTTTTAGATTTGAACTTTATCCTATGTACTTCGTAATGCTATTTTTCCTTCATCAGAAGGAAAAGAAGTGCTGCTGTGTGCTGCAAGGCCTCAGTTTTTATTGACCAATTACCACAAGCACTGCAATTTACAGCACAGCACTGTTAATGTTTAAAGTTCACTGAGGCTACAGCTCTCGCAGCCATAAAAATAATTTATATCTAGGTGGGTACCAGATCTCTTTTTTTCTTCTTTTTCTTCCCTCCTCAGCTTTCAGCCCAGCACAACAAGCTGGGGCAAACCCAGGGGTGCAGGTGCTCAGAGAGGCTGCCGGGGCCGGCTCATGCCAGGCAGCCGTGGGGAGCCCCCTTGTCCTCCTCAGCCCTGCGGCCCTGAGCCCTGCGGTCTCACGCTGCTGTCGTCAAAACGGTCATTTCGCTGCAAGACGGGGCGCGCCCGTAGTTGGCCGTGCGTGCGGCTTAGTGTAGTTCATCGTTGGGGATGGCGCGTACGCGCACCGCTGTGCGAGGCACCGCCGAGGGCAGGCGGGTGCCCTCCGCGTGCGTGTGAGCGAGCGGGTGAGCGGGCTGGCCTCCTGCTGCCTCTGCGAGCCTTGGAGCGCCAGCTTTCCTGGGAATGCCTTGTTTGGCAAGAAGTATTAGAGCGCCATGGGTTACAGGATCCGCTCCTAAAAAAATATATAATAAAAGCCCCAATCTTTGTGTGCCTTGTTACCTAGCACCCGAGAAATAATAATTCTAGCTCAGTAATACTTTAAGGAAGATGTGGTTCATTTAAAACCATATAAAGTTGTTCCATTGAGAGCAATCCTTCAGGCTTTCTGCAGAAAAAAAATAACGGTGTTTATAAAAGCTTTAAACCTCTTGTATTTCAGATCGCCTTCATTTTGCAATTCTCTGCCAAAAACCAAAGAGTGGAGCTGCAAATGCCCATTATTTCTGCATAGATGATGAACTTGTATATGAGAAGTAAGTACAGTTATTTTATTAGTCAGAACAAGAGTAAAGAGGAGCCATTCTAATTGACAATCTGTTTTTAATGTAGCTGAGGGAAACACATCATTCCCATTATAAAACTAATTATTCAAGTTCTGTCCTCTCAAACTTATCTGCCATAATGCTTTATACCCCTTAGAATGGTTTCCTGGCATCCCTTTAGAATTTCTTAAAAATCTTTTCAAAACAGGAGCTCTCATTACAATAGCTCTTGTTGTGAGACACTGGGACATGTTGTAACAATATCTGCACAGAAATGCTTGTTGGAGTATTGAGCTAAAGGGGATGTCTTTACAATGTTCAAGTGTTAGGTGGAGTGTCTGAGCTTCCTAGAAACAGAGAAACAAATTGCAAACTTGACACAAAACTTTATAAGCCAAGGATGGATATATGTCCCCCGTAGTGACGAACATACTCCTTTGTATGTAATCTGACATGCTGCTGATACTTGAAACATTATTAACCAACAAAATACTACTTTTTAAATATGTTTCAGAGTTGAGAAACAATGAAATTCACTCATGAATGTATCTTTGCTGTCTGTATTCACTTTCCTCCAGCAGTACTGTGTATTGAATGTTAACTTCATGGAAGTGTATTTTTCCACAGAATATACTAGGAAACTACATGTATCTGTACAAATTTATTTATTTTTTGAGGTCCTACTAATTACTTCTTGAAGTCAGGCTTTCAGATTCTTAAAACAGTATGTAAACTAGGACTACAGAGGGATATTTTGGTGAGAACTTCTCAAGCCTTGAGTATTCTAGATTTTTTGGGGGTACTTTTGTACAGAAAACAAAGAAACAGCTCTCTGTTTCGGTCCATATTGAAAGGTGACGAAGATGTTACCTCCAGTAAAACAGTGTGAATGCAAGAAGGCAATCTTGTGTTTAGAATGTATAGAATGTGTTTACTACGTATATATTACTGTTCCTCGCTTAGTGTATTCACTTTAAAAAGAGAAAGCATTTACAAACATTTTCCCCCTTTTTCCTACAAGCTTCTATGCGGATTTTGGACCACTCAATCTGGCAATGATCTACAGATACTGCTGCAAGCTAAATAAGAAATTAAAGGTATTAATTTGTTATTGTTATTATTCAACACTCTTGCCTTTCTAAAGAAGAGAAACAAACGGGCCCAAAGGTTTTGTTCAAGTATTTCCCTGAGTTCCTCATCAAGTTCATTTTTGAATGTGCATGTTAATCTTCATCAAGATGCATTTGCAGAGAAGGAGGGTCATGAAAGCAAAATGCTTACTTTGAAGATGTACACTGCACCATCATGGAGTAACAAATATTAAGCTCTTGGAAAACAGTAATGTTGAATGTAAAGCTTCCCTACTCTTGAATTTAGTCTCCTTGGCAATCTGCCAATATGGAGTGAGAAATGAAACATATTTTTATTCGAGATGGCTCGTGTTTGATGAGTTCCCCTTCTGGTCTTGACATCACGTTTCTAAGAAGGAACATTTGATCTTCAAATGATAGCATTTATGGTATCCTGAAACAGACTGTTACACTCCCATACACTGCAGGAATTGAAGGTTATCATCTCTGAGGGGTGCTCTGTAATCTCCAGGATGGGACTCTGGGTAGAGCAATAGCGTCTTTAAAATAGAGAGTTCCTGCATTAATTAAAATGATCCGCTGCAAGTTAGTTGACCTCTAACAGAAGGTGTAGTGCAAAACCTGTTAGGCAGATAAAAAGCTCATTAGCATTAATGTCAATCACTGTTTGCCTCCAGAGTGCTTAGAACTTGAAACTGCCATTGAACTATTGAAATTGTGAAGTGACCAGAGCATTATAGCTTAATAGGGAAATCCTTTTTTTTTTTTTTTTTCCCCTTTTTATTTTTTTCCTCCTCCTTCTCTATTTCTTGTTGTATATCAGTGTTTCTAATTTGCATGACTCAGATTCATTTTGTGCCAGTGGCATTATGGATGGATTTGCCTGAGACAAAATTGTTTGATTTATATTAACAAGGTACTCTGCAGCAAGACCGTATTATAATCCTTTTGAACATGCTGGGTTGTAAAACTAGAGAGATGTGTTAAGACGGATGAGACTCTACTACTGTTAGTTATCTGAGGCTTATTTGCCTTGAATAACTGAACAAGTAGCACAGCTATTTAAATAATAATCTTTTATGATCAAATTGCAGCTGATCAGCTGACAACTACAGCTTCAAGCACGTTGAAATTTGCCGTAAGGACAAGTTAGTGCAGACGTTTTGCCACCATTATCCTTCTATTAACAATGCCTTTCCGCTCCCTAAGCTGGAGAAACTGTGTGGCGAGACCTGTGTTGAAATTTTAAAATCACCTGTGATGTTTTTAAGAACACCATGTAGTATTTTCTTCTCACAAATGCATAGGACTGTTGCATAGGACTAGAAGTAAAACATTGAAAGCATCTGAAGGAGAAAAACAAAATCAGTATAATTTATATCAAACAAGATTCAGGCTGGATGGCAATAAAATGGAAACAATCTAAATAGGGATCCAATATATTCTTCTGAAGCTATTGAGGGATTAGCATACAATATACTTGGTGCTCTGTGTACATATGGTGGAGGGTAGGGCGAATTGTGTCTAACCATTTACCTGATTTTACGAAAGAAGGCATAAAAAGTCTAAACCGCAGAATTATAATACTGTTGTTCATTTCTCAATACAGTCATTTTCATTGATAAGGAAGAAAATAATTCATTATACTGGCTTTGATCAGAAAAAACAAGCAAATGCTGCATTTCTCATAGGCTGTTACGCAGTAAGTATTTTTATTCTTACCTCTACATCAGAATGCTAAATGTTTTCATTCTTTCACACTCATTGTTAAAATTTCAATAAAGAAGTAACTTCTCCCCTTTACTTATCTTCCTACAAGTATATTTTATAATAAGGTATCACATTCAAAGACGATTTTTAAACTCTAGCAGAAGTGTGGAGATGGGCCTTTGGTTTGTGTGTTTTTTTTTGTTTGTTTGCTTCTTTATTTGATCCCCCCTTGCAGTCTATGCTTCTCAGTCACATAGTCTTCCTCTGGAGAAATGGGAGTACTGCTGGGGAAAAAAATATTTTTCATTTAGAAAAAAAAAATGATTACTTCTTGATAATTTTCCTCTTCTCCCCATTCTCTGTTTTTCTTTTTCAAAAGAGAAAAATATTATCCTGCACAAAATATGGCTTATCATTTCTGACTCTGTGCACTTTAAAATACATATTTTCTTCTCTAAAGTGAAGTGATCTCTTCAGGTAACCTAGGAGGAGGAGCAAGATCATGTACAGCAGGCACAGAAACAATATAGAGGCAGGAGATGTTCAAGGCATCTGAAAATTTACTGCATCAGGGCCCTGATTGTGGAGGGGAAAAATTACTTGCTTTGTGTCAAAACCACCTCTAAAAGAATTGTTGTTTGATGCCACATATTTATGTTATTCTGACATTTAGTGTCAGAATAAAATGCTTAGCGCTTAAGAAGGAAAAATGTGATGGTCGATATTAATATTTTGCTTTGACTTGTACTATACCTTCCTTGTGACCATATCCTTCTCGTGTTCATTCACTAAGAAAGTGAAGAGAGCCTATGCTTTTCTCACGTGGGACATTTGGGAGGTCAGAATTTGTGTGGCCTTAGGTCGACTCTCTTGATGAGCTGCAAGGCTATGTGATGTGCTCACTGTGACCTGGTCATCACTTGGTGGATTTTACACTATGACAGGAGTTAATGTTTCCTGCTCCACAGTGTTTTGTCTGTTGTCCATTTTGCAGAGCACTCATAAATAAAGAGCTTGACTTTAAAATGTGTCACTGCTCGTGTTCGAAACACACAAAAGCTTCAGGGATGCCACTGTTGATCCTTACATTCTTGGTTACTAAACTTGTTTGTAATTGAGGCTTTAGGTTAACCAAACAGCTGTAGCTTTTTTGAGGCTTTTGTTTAACTAAACTGTAGCTGTAAAAGCTGTAGCTGTTAGGAAGACTGATTTTTTGGAAGTGATTTGATTGTATTATACATCCTGAAAATAAGTGTGGTTTGATTTTAGTTATCAAATCATATTTGGCGGGATCTTTTCTTTTGTTCTTGCCCAAAACTTTCATTGGGTAATACTGCTGTGGAGCATAGTGCCCACTATTTGAATCATCGAATATGATGAACTTACTAACTAATGGCAAGCAAACAGATTTGAAAATATTGTGGTTGGCTATCCTGAACAAAAAACCTAACTCTTATTTGTGATCATTCAGTTGCCCTGCTACGCTGCAACAAGCATGTGGAGGAATCCTTGAATGGACTTGCGCAAATGCCTAAGGTCTTAGGCTAATATGGCTTGTGGTGATGATGCAAAACAGACCAGTTAAAAAGAGACCTTTGGACAGATCAATAAACAGTTTTTGCTTTAGAGAACTGCACTGAAGGAGACAGATGATGCAGAGTACAGAGAGAATGCTAACACAGAAGCCAGAGGGAATGGGAAAAGACATGGGAAATGGGAAATCATCTCTTCACAGATTGATGTGGGAAGGATTCCAGTGAGAGAAGATCACAGAAAAAAAGACTTACCCCTGAGGCCTACTTCTTTTCCTTACGCTCTTTGATGATCTTTCATGAAGAGTTGCACTTAATTACTGCAGTCACTTTTAAAGTGTTTAGACACACATCCAGTGTTTCCACTTTTTGTAGGGAGATGTTAGTTGTTCTCCACATGGTGAGAAATGGCTTAAGATCTCTTTAGGATGTACTATAAATGTATGTCTATAGTCATATTTCCTTACTAAAGAGAAATGTATTGAGGCTTCTACTACTTTAAATATATTTAGATTTAAGCATCCAATTACTGCTTCAGTCACAGTGATAAAAACTTTGCTTTCTGATGAAAAAAGATCTGTTCAGCTATTGGTCAAAACTTTATAAAGCTTTTCTGTAATTTTAGTTTATCATAGCATAGATCTGATGATAGTACTATTTGCCATTTGAACTGAGGAGGGTGATTGAATTTCTAATTTCTGATCTCTTGCTGTTTAAGTGATTGATTGTCAATATATTTTGTATACTAAGGGTTGAATTTTTTTTTATTATTATTATTTTTTAAGCTTCATGGTGGACTCCCACTTCAACAGGTGACATTAGGTTGAGGAAGCATGTGACAATCCACCAGGCTGGAAAAGAAGAAATTAGGTGGGAAGAATAAGAAAATAGAAGTGGGAAGTAGCGTTCACAGAGTTATCCGTAATATAGTGCTTGTCTGTGTGTGTGTGCATTGTAAGGCCTTCAATGCCTTCAGCCTCATTTTGGAGGAGACAAGGTATGATACGATCACTGCAGGGTGTTAGTTGTTTAGGAATAAGGCTGCCAGCTTTCAGGAATGGTGTAAGCACAATAAGTATGTGCATGCAGCTTCTGTTTATTTATTTATTTTCTTTGTTTGCTTTAAATGCAAACATACACATAACTATGTGAGTGTATAATGAAGCAAATATAGCAGGCTCTTCTGTGGATCCTGTGTGTCTGAGAGCAAATGCTCCATGTTGTTAAGCTGGCAACTTGCAAGTCTGTCGTTTTAAAGGCTAGTGGATCCTAAGTTGCATTCTGTGCAGTCTTAAACAGATGTTGTTTAACTTCAGTTGAAACAAATCGGAATATTTGGCAAGATTATTATTTGACCCCTCTCATTTATATGTGTGTACATATACACTACATATACATATGGATATATTGTGGGATTATGCTAATTTTGACTACCGAAGCAATTACAAAAGTCTTCATTTAACTGTGGCGAAGTAAAAGAGCAACTGTTAGTGTTCCAGTTTACAAGCAAAGTCTATTCCCAGTCTTTTCTTCGCAGTTAGTGTTTTAAAGTTGTCCCTGACTGCTTCATCTAACTTGCCTTTCCTTCCTCTTTAGTGGAGATACTTCTGAAGGGGCTGTCCAAGCTACACACTCCTTTCTTCCCTCTCTCGCAACCACTGCTTCTTTCCAGGTGTCCTTTGATGTGCCAGCACAGCACAATTAAAGCTACAGACTTCTTCAATATTAAATGGCCTTAAGGATGAAGAACAAAGTTTTAAATGCACTATGTGTAGTTTCATGCCACATTATGAATTTTAGAGTGAATCTTAACAGTTTAGACCCTAACTGCTTTATCATTCATCTTCCATCTAGTTTATTACTGTATTTTGTTTAATTTTTATAGATAACAACATAATGCATAATGGGAATAATACTCTCCTATGTAGAGTAGGACACATGTCGCATGTTCAGCCACACAGAGGGTGGCTAAATTCAGTGTTGGGGGGTGAATGTCTACAGGTGCCTTGGGAGGTGGCGGGAAAAGAAAGGAGGAGAAAGAAAACCTTTGTTCTTCACCTTTTAAAAAAATAATTGCTTTTCCTTGGAAGCGATCTGCACTGTTCAGGCCTTGCCACCCTACCAAAGCAGCAGTGATCTTCTGAGTTGATCTTCACAGTGGCTTCTCTTGATTCCCGCCAGGACTTGGCTGTGGGTGAGGAAAGTCTGCTTCTTCCACCATTGCTCCTCTGTGCCCTGTACACCCAATTCCCAAGCTCCCCCTCTCCCCTTCACTGCATTAACTTAGTAACAGTGTTTCTTTTCTCAGGCCTGGCACTAATTATGTACTTGGAGGGTGACCCTCCGTGGGTACTGCCCCATGAACTGCTGTAATTCAGGTCACGTTCTCCAGGACTCATCTCTGTACTTTGTCTATTTTCTCATCTTCTTTCTTCAGGGTAAGCAGCGTTTCCTTCATCTGTTCTGATCCATAGTACTGTTTTTGCCTTTTCAGTTTGCTGGTGTCCTTCCTAGGTGTGGCCTGCCATTGGGTGAAAATTGGAAGCAGTAGAAGCAAGTAGTGCCAATTTGTGTAATACTGAACAGCGCTGCTCTTACAGTGGCTTTTGCAGAATTACCTCTGGTAAGCAGTGGGAAAGTAGGTAAACCTGCCTATTTCATGATCCAAGCAAAGTAAGAGCAATTGGGCAAATGCTATGGTGCTCAAATTAGAAGTGGGTAAACTGTGTTTACCCTCAGCTGCATTTTGGCAAAGCATTTGGAAAAGTGTTTGAAAAGTGAATGCCAGAGAGGAGATGGAGAAAGAAGGACCCACTTTTCATCTAAGAAAAGTTACCCTAAGTCTTTCGTCTTTCTCCGTATTAAGTGTTCTATAAAAGAGCTACCTCCTCTGAATTGTGTTTTCAAAATCATGATTAGCCTTCATGATGGCAGTTTTTCCTGCTGTTTCTACCAGGTTCTTCCTCACATTTTCTTACCAGACTCCTTGTCTCCAGAGCAGAAGGGATGCTCTCCAGGGTCCCTTGCTGTAGTAGCGGCTTCCTTTCTTAGCTGTCACACAGTACTGCCAGTGTGCCCAGCCTGGTTTTGCTCAGCTGATAGGAATTTTTATGCCTCCTTTCCCTCTGCCACTTGGAAAGTAATTGGAGGTTTCTTCCTTCTGCTTATGGTGAATAAAGAGAGTTGTCAGAGACAGGCAGTTGTTCCCTCTCTGCCATTTTCACCCCCTTATGACTACTTTCATTGATGTAGGTATATTTGACCACTTGTGCATTTAGGTCACCATACAAATTTATGAAGGAGTTTTTTGTTTGTTTGTTTTACTTTAATATATTTCTAGTTTAATTTTGCTATTTTTAACCTTGTCTGGTAAGTTTTATTAGTGATTTGTTAACTGACTGTAGCGTGTTCAGGGGAGGCTTTAATGAAATAAAATGTGCAATATTGAATTTTTACAGTAAAATTATGCATGTGCCCGAACTTGTATTTCAGCCCACTCAGTGTTGTATAGGACTTGCTTTATTGCTTCAGAATTGGTTTGTGTTTGTTTGTAGTTTACAGCTGTTGAGATTATTTTGGGTGATGCTTTTAAACAGTTATCTTGCATGAAATATGCTAGTATTGATTTAAAGTCAATATGGTTGGTAAAATGCATTATTTCATTAGCTTTCTTATTAGATTTCGCAGTTAGGATGGACAGGAAAACAAACTTGATTACACAAAGCACTTTATAAATGTGAATTCAATTTGTTATTTACAGGCTTGCACTGATAATCGTTTTCAACAATTTAATATATTTAAATATCAGGTTTGTTTAATTTTTCTAAAAAAGCAGCAAATTATCAAAGAGGCTTATCAAACGTACTCTGTCTTGCCTGCAGTATTGATATTTCACTTGGTAATCGCAGGTATTATGCTTGCCAACAGAACTCTCATTCTGTGGTTAATTTTAAACGCTCAGAAATAAGGACTGGGTAGCCTAGTTTTGCAAGCCCTTCTGTTTAATTCAGTGACTGCTGTAATGACTGCTGGACTAATAGGCTGTGTTGGCAGGAACAGTGCTCGAGTGCACCTTTCACAGTGCTCAATGCTTGGATGGTTCTTGACCATCCACAGAGCTGCATGCAATGTCTTAATTAGAAACAGATGTCCTAAATGAAAAGCATGATTAGAGCAATGTTAATGGTTCAGTGCTAACTGCAAATTTATGTCTGTATTTTGAGCTCAGCTGGATTTTTTCTACGTGCATAAAGAAAGCAACGTTGGTACGTACATGATTATACAGGGTGACAAAACAGTGTTGCTTAAATATGTCAATTCCATCGTATAACAGATTTTTCTGGAAGATCCCTAAGTAAAGAACTTGTAAAGGATTTCAAGAGTCTCTCTCCGTATGCATGTGTTGTGTGTATGTATTTCACCGAAGTGACTTCTACTCTTGTATATTTTAATTTGTGTAGGTTCCCACATACACACACACCTCTATCTCATGAATTCAGAAGTATATCATGAAATGTCTTGGTTTTGCTGTTCATCAACTCAGTATTTCCATTCTGTCCTGAAACGTTGGTTCTGTTTACATCCTTAGAAAGTCCTTATTTTCTCCATCTACAATAGGTCTCTCTAAACTCTAACTTTCTAGATCCCATTCACTGGCCTCCTTTAATCTGCTGCTTTCATCACCCACATCACTCCAGTAATATTGTTCTCCTTGAAGGCTTGAGTGAGCTCTTTCTGGTGGGAATATTAGCTGACCTTTTACTGTTAGGTGTTTCTTAGTGTATCTACAGTATGGCTTAAGTTCGGTTAGGATTTTTTTTTCTTCTTTTCTAAGTGGAGCTTCTCCCTTCTCCCTACTAAGCAGACTCCAGGTCACCTCACAGGGCAGGGTGGGAGCACTCCAGTAGCTAGAGTCCATTTGTTCAGCCAGAATGACTGGAACTACCCTGCAGCTAAAATCCGTGAAAGCGCATGGTGAGCTGTCGAATCATCAGCACCGGCTCTAGGTCTACAGAGCTCTTTCTGTTGGTGCCTGTTATTTTCCAGTGTAGATATGATCTCTGTGAAGTCTGCTGGCTTCACTTCTGTTGCTCCTTGGGCTTTGCTGCTCTTTCTGTTACTGCTTCAGGGTCACCTGTTTGGAGTCACCTGGAACTGCTCACCCAGGTTCAGGTTCAGGCCAGCCTCACAGCCATCCGAAAGTGTTCTCCTGTGGTCTGAAACAGTGCCAGAGCTGATGTTCTCGCTTGGGCTGTTGCAGCTGCCTGTGCTGTGTTTCTGCCAGGATACTGAACTAAGTATTAGTTTATGGTCTTTCCCATTTTGTGTAAAAACTGAGTGCTGCTCTACTCTTTTGAAGGACTCCAGACCATCATTTCAGCTGTTCAAATAACCTCAAAGCTAGCCAGGTTTTTCAAGATGCTCTTCAATGGGAACACCATATGACCATTTCATCTACACCTGCCTCTGCAGCTGTTCACATGTTGTATCTTAGGTGTGTAATAGTGTCAAGCCTGAAGTACAGCAGGATCTCTCTTGTTCCAAGAAGTTCTGAGAAATCAAACTGCGTTGAAGAGCTTCCTTCTTCAGTGAATGTACTATGTTGCTTCAAGTGTACTGAAAGTACTTTCCATTTTTGCTTGGTACCAGTTCCTTTGAGCTTGCACACTGGAAAATGCCATGGCCTTGAAGTGTGTTTTCTGAACATACTAGATGATGAGGTAATATAGCTGTGTTAAGTAAATCTATGCTCATTCATGTGTAGTGTGTCTAGCATCTTCATCACTTATATCATTTCTTAAGTTGGATCTATGCTTAAGAATGAACATGTTTCAGTATGGTGTGATATTTCTTAAACCTCTCGATACAACACTAAGGGCAAAAACTGCTCTTGCTACTGTTACTGTTGGAGACAAACATTTTTGCTGTGGGAGCTTTTTTTGCACAAGAATCTGGTGAGAACTCAACAGTGTGGAAGGAGACCTTAGCCCTTCTGGGACACGTGTGTACAGGGTTAGCCACTGTTACCTGCATTTCTGTTTGCCTGTAGTGTGAGTGATGCCTGTGCTACCAAACCTTGCACCAAGAAATCTCAAACTTTTCTGTATAGAAACTCTATTTCTGATGGTTAACTACAGTCTCTTCCTTTTGCTAGTGCTATTTTACATCTGTTTTGTAAGGCTTTTTCCTGGAGGCAGGACTTCCTCCACACTCGGATAGGGAAAAGATTATGTGTTTTTACACCTTTTGGCAGTCTGTATTCATTGTGCTGCATGATGCAAAGTATCAGCGTATCAAAGCACACAACCTGCAGTTTCTTGGAATATAACCTTTAAGTCCAGTTCATGCAATGATTTGTAGTGGTATAAGACTGCAAAATCTAATTCGAAGGTGACCTAAGGGACCTGAAGAATAATTCTTGAATGGTATTTTGTCTTTTTTTAACTTTTTTTTTAATAGGTTTATGTTTGTGACAATGAATGCAAAATCCACTAGCCCCACCCTGGTGAAAATAGATTCAGAAAGCAAGCAATTTTCATTACCTAACTAAACTACTTAAAACAGATGGATTTTTCTTGGATTTTGCTAATTGCACAGGAAGAATACTAAAAAAATACTCAATACAATAAACAAATTAAAGGACAAACAAAAAAGAGCCAGTCATTTCAATATGTGTTTAGCCCTCTGTTGGGCATATGTTCCAAGCTTTTCCTGGCTATTTGTCTCTGTGTTACCTCCCATTCCCACCCCACAAGAATGTGTATATGTGTGTATAGAGAGAGGATGTAAAGGAATGTTAAACCATTTGTTAAAGCTAAGTTTGCAGCAGGGTAAAAGAAATCTAGAAGGTAGTGCCAACTTTTGTTTTTGTTGATTTTGATTTTCTTTTCTTTTAAAAGTTGGCACACACAGATTTTTGGAGGGTGATTATTGAAAATTCATTAGGCTTCTTTAAAATGGACTCTTAAGAAAAAAAAAGGTAATTATTTTACAGAACTCTATTTAAAAAAATAACATCTTGGATTGTTTTAATGCTTAGCTAATGCAATTTGTGAGCTTTGAATTACTGAAAGTATTGCTGACAACTTGTAGTTAATAGCTGATCTCTTCTGGCTGTGCTGGTGATGGTGTTTGATGGTATGGACCAGAGAGTTTTTAGATACGATCTACATAAAAAGACTACCTAAGAAAAGCTTAGTGCTAGCAAGTCAGTCATGTGGTCAGGGGAGACCATGCAGATATTTAATACTTATCAGGAGTTGGGTTTCTTTTTGTGTGTGTGTGATTCTGGTACTATTTCTTGAATGTTTTTACAGTAGAAAGCTTGTATTTAGTGTTTCTAGTATGTTGCTTTATTATGTTCTCAGGATTTTGCTTCTTAAGCCACAGATTTCTTTTTTTCATTATGGCATCTGGATTTACTTATGGGGCACTACCTCACCAGTGCAAGGAAGGAAGTAAAGGATTTGGAATAACGCATATCTTGTTTTGCTATAGGAAAATCAAAACATATACTAATTACTGTTTTAACCTTGTCTATTGAGTACATACACTGTTTTATGGACAGGCTAATTCATAGCTTTGCTGAAATATTTGAGGGCTTTTGTACTTTAAATTACATCTTAAAAGCTTAATTTAAAAAATTCTCCAAACTAGTCCAGGCAGGCTGCAGTAAAAATACAGAGGAGTCCAGATTGACAGACAGACATTTTTTTTGCTGTAGCCTAAACCAGAACAATGCCTTGGGAAATCTATAGATTTAGTGTAAAAATAAATGCACAAATACTATGTTATACTGGTTTGATTTATTTTAATTGTATTGTTGCACACCTGTATTCTTTTTCAAACTGTTTCTGATACTCTGTTATTCTGTAGTAAATGGGTGACTTGAAAGTATTCATATCAATTATAAAGTAACTGTACTTTTTTTTGTTTTCTCTCAAAACAGATAATATACCTGAGAGAATCCCCAGAAGATGTGTATAGGCTTTTACTGGCTGGAAACATTTCATATCTTCCCTTCAGGTAAATAGATAGAAAATAGCTACATTCTGTAGCTTATTGTTGTGGAGTGTTTTGTTTGTTTGTTTAGGAATAGTTTAGCATTTAACAGTCCTGATTTTTTTCTTTTTTTTTTTCTTTTTGCTAAAGTTTTAGCACATGACACATTCACTGCCTTAGCTTTGAGTACATGCTCCTGAAAAGGGTGTTGGCAGCTGATTCTGAAGTGTCTTGAAGGACAGTGAGGAGCTGAAGTAGCTACACCGCTTTGAAAATGCTTTTGTTGAGCTTTTTAATCCACATTTTTCTTTGCTTGGCAGCCTGTTTTTGTGCCAGTAGGTAGTAGTTAAACATATCAACATATCTAGCAATTATCACAAATGACTTATAATACTTTTGGTACTCTTTTTTTTTTTTTTTTCTTTCTGAATGCATGAAGCAATGTAAAATATATTTTGTGAGGAGTAAAGAAAAAAAAATAGTAGTGCTAGCTAACCTCATTTGATTTAGTTCAGCTCTAAAACATTTCTTTTTACCAACAAGGAAGAGTGTACAACCATTACTTTGTGGTTGCTTGACCCTGAGGGAATGTAATCATAGCTGTTGCAGACCACAGACTTCTCATTATGGTATCTAATATGCTGCTGCTTTATGCACCAAATATGGTTGATCCATCCTGCAGAGGAACAGCTTTTTAAGATGAGTTTCTAAAAGTTGGACCAAACTAGCATTTCACTGGCTGCCACAATATGCAGGAAAGAATGGGCAAAAAGCTTTTCAGAAGGGAAGTTGACTGTCCGTTTATGTTGTTATGGGTGATTAATTCAGCCCTTGGTTGTTTATGTTTTCCATCTGCCTTGCCAAGAGCTGGGATTTGGTGTTTTGAATTTCTTTCCCCCACTGCCCAGCAGTGCCAGCGTATAGAAGCGCGCCTCTCTTGTGTGCATGCTTTCGTCATCACGTTTTCCTTGCTTTTTCGTTACACTTTTTTGTTCACAGAAGAATAAAAATGCTTCTTAAGGAGACCTGTAAATCTTGTTTCCAAAGATCAGAGAGGCATGCGTGGGAGGGGAAATAATAGCTTTTAGCTTTCTTTGAAACCCTGCCTGGAACTTCAGATCATCATCATTTCAGGGGGAATACTGAAAGGAAGGCAAAGACTTTTTATGTAATAGGAATTACTCCAAGCTCACTTCTACAGACAGCATAGATATGTCCAGCCAATAGGATAAGGAATACAGTATGAAGTCCCTACCCAAGTTTCTAGGAATCTGCTAGTGCATTTAAATCTACTGCAAAGAGAAGAATTCTGGTTAAAAGAATGGTGAACTGGGATGCTGCTCTTGACCCTGTTTCTTTCAAGTCTTACTCATCTCTGAAAAAAGCATTATCAGGTAGTTGCTACTCTTGGTCATTATAAACAGGAAATACTTTATTAGCAGGATGCAAATAATTTCTTTGATCAGTTTCCTGAATAGGATTCTGTTATTTGCTTCTCCTGCTGATTTCCTTTTTTTTTTTTTCCCCTCTTCATTCTGATTCATTAAGGAGAAGAACGTGTAGAAGTAGCGATTTATGTAGTTCAGAAGTACATTGGTGTGTTTGTTTAAATTTAAATACACACATGCATAAATCTGTATATAATTCTTTTTACTTTATGTCACATTAATAACTTTGTGTGTGAGAGCTGTATAGTTCTCATACAAAATTCTCATGTTTAGACATAAACTATTTTATACACCTCAAAGATATACCTCTTTTAGTGTAGTTACACAAATGTGCAGCTTGGCAGATGTATATAAAAAACATGTGCACCACAACTTTTGTTTTAAATGGAGTCTTAGGAAAGAATCTTGCAGAATATCACATCTTGAAGGATATATTGCATGTGTACTTCAATAAGAAATGTTTCAAGTGCAGATATCGGGACGTGGTATTCATTTGGGCATTAATTTTTGCCATGGGGAGTTTTTGTAACTTTTTTTTTTCTAGTATATGCCTATGTTTCTTTAACATTAAAGGTTGAACTTCTCAGTTTTACCAAAAAGTGTAATCTTAGTCTTGGATCATCTGTATTATGTTGTATTATTACCAGCTGCAAGGCAGGGGGATTAATTGTTCAGTGTAATTATTTTGCTGTAACAGTAATTATCTTGAAGTAATCATCTTTTAAAGTCGTTTTTAGAGAAGTAACTTTAATTGCTCACTTGGATTCACACGGAAACAGTTTTGGTCATGAAAACACATGTGTTACAGGGATGCATCATTTGGGACTTGCAGTTTTCATCTAACTTTGCTGGACTGTTTTCATGCAATAAACAAGGTCAGTTAAACAATTTATTGCAAAATGTCATCTTATAAATTGTCAGCTTATAAATTATGCATTGTAACAAATCTTCGTAAGGTGTTTGTAGAAGCTGACTGATATGTATTCAGCAAGCGAAGTTTTTAAATACCGAATTTCGATTTTTGTTCAGGTAATCTTTTGAGAGCAATCATTTGCACCTCTAAACACTAGGTGTTGCCTGACAGTTTTATCAAATGGCCATCTGGTGTTGCATTTTTAGGCTGAATACTCCCTTTTCAAAGAAGTTGTGCATGGCTTAGTGATGCCTCTTAGGCATTTGCAGAATGTGCTAATGGGTTCAAGTTTGGCTTTAGAAATACAAATAGAACAAATGGTAGTAGGCAGGCACTTTTTTTTTTAAACTACAAATCGGCATCATCTGGTGTCTTATTGCAAAGCAGTGGTGAAGTAATGTGGAATTTAAGGACAGGGCAATTTCCTGTACGTTCTTCATTCGTTTTAGTCTGTACAAGCAGTAAAATAGGGAATTCTGTAGCTTTTCTCTCTAGTACTGTCTTTTCTATTATGACTATCTTTGCAAAATGCTGGTGTTCTTACTGATTAAATCAGCCTCCTGCAGATTTGTGATTTGCAGGTTTTTTTGGATATTCCGGCATTGACTGCTCTTCCCCTAAGAATGGGGAATTGCTCTTCTTGTCAGGACCAGTGAGCAGCAAGGAAGGCCCCAGAAAGTTGCACAAAAAGAGCAAAAGAGAAGATTAGCATGTGATATTTAAAATATCTGGGGATATGGGATTATTTACACTTGTGCTTCCTGATTTAACAAATGGGTAAACTGACAGTTACTCAAATATTTAATACAGCATAAAAATGTAAACATAATGCCTGTGGATAATTACTGAGCGTCAGGGACTGAGCTAAAGTTTGCTTAGGACTGTAGAGAGAATCCATCTGCAACCAATTTAAAATTAATGAAAATCTAGAAATATAACGAGAGAGAGTGCATGCACCCAAAATACTTGTATTCCTTGAAGGTAAGGTTTAGAGTATACTCCTAATTTAAGTACTAATTTTTTTGCCAACTGTTTTTATCTTCGGCAATCTGTACTGCTGACAGGAGTAAGAAAGAAATTCTGAATTTATGTAATCTAGGATTTTCAAGTGATTAATGGAAAACAGAAAAAGAGTGGGCTCTCTTGTTTACTGTCACCTATTCTGATTTTAGGCTTTGCGGTATGGTTTCCTGGATTTCAGTGTGTTTGATGTAAATGAGTATGAGCATTATGAGGTAAGGGTACAATATGCACAATGTAAATCGTCTGGTTTGTTTCCAGTTATTAATGCAAAGATGACTGCTTTATCATTTGCACTGTTTCTTTTGTAGTGTAAGGTTCTATTTCTGTGTTCTGCTTGTCTCCTTAAGCTTCAAATGTTAATAAAATCAGTTGTCAGAGAGATTAAAACTCAGATTTAAGCACAGTCAAGCTCAAAAATAGGGGAAAGGTGGTTCTTGAAGAACCTAAAAGGGAGATCTAAGGGTTTAGGAGGACCCTAAAAGGGATTTTTTTCATGTTTTATTAAATGTAGATGAGGGTGAAGGGGAGAGGAAAACTGTTCCCTGAGCATCTTTTAGAGATTATTTATTCCCAAACAATCTTGATAAGAAACTGAGGACAACAGAAGCCAACAAGACACAAGCTTGTTGAGAACAATTGAAGTGTGTGTCTGTGAACAGGTGACAAAAGGTATGAACGACTTTGAGGTAAAGAGAAAAACAGGGCTGGGGAAATTCAAGCCTGTAAAATTCACTTTGGGCCTTGGGAAACTAATGTGAAGGTAAAGGGCTACAATACTTTCTTATACATATTCTAACAAAGGCAAAGCCGTCATTTATCTGAGGAGCGAATTTGATGTTTTTAAAATCTAAAAAATTACTTAGTGGACAAAGGTAATGCCAAGGCCATCATTTATAAACCTAAGAAGTTTAAAGTATTGAAGTTGCCCTTCACCTGAAGGGCATCAGTTGCATTACTTTAGGACTGTAGTTTAGAAAGAGAAGAATACAATAAGAAGTATGAGATTGAAAGCATCTGGCTCTGATGAATCAAAAAGCAGGCCACTAACATGCTTCCTTTGGCAAAAATTGTACATCACTTCTATCTAGCATGTTATTTTGAAACAATAAGGAAAAGCCTGAAAATACAGGGTTAATGATAAACCAAGCATTTTCTCTTGACAGAGAGCAGAAAATGGAGATTTTAACTGGATAATACCAAACAAATTCATTGCCTTCAGTGGACCTCATTCAAGAAGTAAAATTGAAAATGGTATGCTTAAAAAAGGAGGTGGGGGACACAAGCCCACTGCTTTTAGTTGGTTGTTACCAGTAAGAACAAGATTTAAAAATTATTCCTCAAACAGTGTGTTTTTTCCTTGGCTACTTTTCTTTTATAAAAATCCCAACAGTAAAATTTTAATGCTTGGTTTAATTGTATCTGAATTAGGTGCTTATGTTAAAATTCCATTTTCAGTTAGTCAATTTCTTTATGTTGTACATGAGTTTTATTTTGAAAGCGTTTCATCTATTGATTTTTGAGTCTTCACATCTTTCTGCAGTTTGAGACTTTTTCTTCTTTTCTCCTTTTTCTGGTAGGTTATCCCCACCATGCTCCAGAGGCTTATTTCCCATACTTCAAGAAACATAAGGTCACCACTATAATACGCCTCAACAAAAAACTGTATGATGCCAAACGATTTACAGATGCTGGATTTGAGCATTATGACCTCTTCTTTGCTGATGGAAGCACACCCAGTGATACTATAGTTAAAGCATTCCTAAATATTTGTGAAAGTGCTGAAGGTGTTATAGCAGTTCATTGCAAAGGTATAGTGTACAGGCCTTTATATTACAGTTGATGTTTATAGTTACAGTTTCTGAGATGTTTTGCACTATCATTCCTTTATTTCAAGTTATTAACAACTCTGAGCTACAGCTTGTTCAAGCAAATTCTTTAGATGCTTTTGTTCTGCATTTTTTTAAAAAAAACTATTTTTAAAATCCAGCAAAATCTTTTCAGCAGTTTCCAAGAATGAGGTTGGGAGGAATGTGTTTGCCAGCATTAATAGTTTGAGCCTTGAACTGCCGAGGTTTATGGTAGGTCTTTCAGAATATGCAGTCAAATATACCCAACTATAAACTTTTGAAAATATCAGTGGAGCTTTTTAAGAAAAATCTTCATACAGTACATTGTTCCTCCAGAGCAGTTGTCAGAAGTCTCTAGTCTCAGATGCCCATTTTACTAGCAGTATTGGGCATGTTCTGAATATCTGTTTCATATATGGAAAGTTCAGGGTTAGACTGCCAGATGGGGTTTCCATCATAGCAGAAATGGTGTTTTCATCCTCATTGCTTGACCGGGCTTGGAAGCCAAAATAAAACTCACCATTTTTGGTTGCATACATTGAATACAACCCTCATTCCTGAACAGTCTTTTAATTCCTTTATTTCTAGTTTAATTCCTTTATTTCTAGTCAATACCAGAAATTTATGATTTATGCCTATTTTATTTCAGAGTTTGACTCAAATCATTTCTCACTGAATCAATGAGAGAATTGTTTGTGCCTATTTCAAGACTCAGGAATCCTTCATTTGGCTTCATTGCATTTCAGAATTAATGTGCTAGATGTTTGTCTAGCTTAGCTCCCCTGCTGCTGACCAGTAATCGGCACTTTCTTTTAGAGCCAGAAACAAGTCCTTAAAAGCATAATTGTAACAGTTTCTGCACATAGCTATGAAATCTCCCCTTCTAGAACAACTCTCCACAGGTACTCTTGACTCAGTTTAGCTGGCAGAGGAGTTTTCAGGTCTAAATGTCTCAGTTAGGCCCTTATGTCCAGTAGGAGAACTGGAATAGCTCTGCCATTGCATTTTAAATGTCCACCATTTTTTTTTCTTTTTTTAAAAAGACTAAATCCATATAAACAAACCTAACATTAAAATAACAAAAACAACAACAAAAACGCTAGCATGTCAAGCATTTTAGTTTCTAGTTGCCTGTGAAATGCCAATACAGCTCCCATTGTATATGTGTCACACCCCTTTTGTTCTCCATGAGCTCTCTCTTAATAGGGTGCGGAGCTTCCTTCTGTGTGAGTGAGGGAGAAAAGCCTTTTTCTAAAGCATTTTCTCTGGACGTGTGAAGAGTGATTTTTTTTTTTTGTCATTATTGTTTTTTTTTCCCCGAATCTGCCACTTATTGGCTCTATGTTGGACAACATTCCACTTGTTTGAAGTGGAAGAATTGCTTAAAAGTGCTACTTGACTATTGGAAAGCAAGTGAATATTCTTTTCTTCCCCTGAGATGGAAAGGTTGGGCACATTGATTAATTGATAGTGCTTGAACGTTGGGTAGCGGTGATGCAAATTCTTTGTTTTCATTGGGATTAAGATGTTCTCTGATCTTTAGCATGATCAAGGTGTCCAGATTGCTTTTGATGCTGCCTCTTCAGAAAGCAGTGAATGCTGCCATCTACTCTTTAAAATGGGAAATGCACAGAGTCCTGTGCAGTCATCTTGACGATTGCTCTATTGAAGATTCAGCACTGGGGTTGAAGATCACTTGAGCCTAGAGCTACCCTCCTTTCTTTTTGGGAATAAATGAACGTGTTTATAGTGCTTTTTCAAAGAAGGCCTCTCAGTTTCACGTACTCTCCTCTCTTGGCTAGTGCCCAGACTGCCTTCTTGCAAAATTTAGTCTTCCTTAAGAAGTAAAAACAGAGATTGTTTAGAAGAGGGATTGGAAGAACAACTGTTCTTAGCACAGTTTATGCATAATTTACAATTAATGTGCTTTGAGAATATTGGGAAGAAACAGCTGTTTGATACAATGCATAAAAAGATTCTCATTAAAAAAAATACATATGTGTGTGCGTATACATATATGCTGGCCATGTGTATATATATGCTGGCTTTGGATGGAGGGAGGAGAAAATCAAAAGATAAGTTTCACACTTACCCAGTTTGACCAGAAACAAGTTTAATAAGCTAGGAAATCCAAGTCACAATGTCTGTAGCCATAGAAGGTTCCAAATAGAAACTGATATATAAAAGAATCTTTTCTCTTATACAGCTGGTCTTGGGCGAACTGGCACACTTGTAGCCTGTTACATTATGAAGCATTACCGTATGACAGCTGCTGAAGCTATTGCCTGGATCAGAATAAATAGACCTGGTTCTGTGATTGGACCACAGCAACGCTTTCTGATGGAGTAAGTAGATTAGCTAGGACAAGTAATTTTGAAAATGGATCTAAATGTTTTTTCTTCTTTTATTGCAATCTTTATCATCTGATATTTTAATTTGTTACTTTATTTTTTCCATATCGTGATAGGAAACAGGCAGAACTCTGGACAGAAGGAGATATTTTCCGTGCAAAGATGAAGGAAAATCGTAATATTGCTGTGACAAAAATCCTGTCAGGAGTAGATGATATTTCAATTAATGATGCAAAAAACAGGAGAGCCAGACGAAAGGACATTGAACTGGTAATTGTCCGAACTGGTAATTGCTGTTGTGAGGGGTTAGGTTGTGAACTTCCCTGTAGGTTCAATGTGTTACTGGATTTGCCTTGCATGTTCCTATTGTGTACCAAGAGATTTGGAGGCAAGAAGAAGTATGGTCAGCAAGTATGAAAGATGAAATGCTATATGAGTAAGAGCATCTTTATCATGCTTTACTCTTGTTATTCAGTTAATACTTTACTCTTGTTATTCAGAACAGGCAGAAACTCAAGATCTGCAGTTGGAAATGGTTTGATTGAATTTGGAATCTTGTTTTTTACATTACCATGTGTGCTCTTGGGGAAGAAATTGAGAGTTTTTCACTCTTTTTTGTTTCTAAGTAATTACAAATTCTCTAGTACTTCTTTGCACTGGCTTTTAAAGAATTGGTAGTATCGTTTTCAGAAGGCAAATGGAGGAGAGGAATTGTGTAGTTGAGAAAATAGTGCCACAGCACAAAGCAAAATTTTGGGGCGTGTCTCCACTATTTTTAAAGGTAGACAACACTCCAGTGCATATAATTTATGGCATTACTTAATAGTTTACAACTTTAAACGAAGCAGCTAATAGGAAATAAAATTATATGTATGCAGGTAAAATTGAAAGCTTTACCTCTGTTGAGGTAAACATTTAAGAGTTGATTGTGATTTTAAATCTTAAAATAAGGTTAAGTATGTATTTTAATTCTTAGGCTTGGGGTGTTTTTTAACTTTATCCAGTACAGTGATGAAGATGAAACAAACTGTGTAACACAGGGCGATAAACTTCGTGCTCTGAAAAGCAGAAGGCAGACAAAAGCTGCAGCCACATCTCCACTAACGTAAGTCACTTTCTCCATGTATGATGTAAGTTCCGCATGTATAAGTACCAGAAGTAATCTAACCAGTTTTTTAATATCTACATATCTGTTTGCTAGCAAGGCATTTTTCACTCATTTAAAATCAGCATGAGATTCACTGTTTCACTGATGAGGTGAAGAGTAGGTATGAGAGTTTGGAGAGGTAGGAGAGATTGATTAAAAAATCGTATCACTCGGTTTTCTGCTATTGTTTTGGCTTGGTTTGGTGGAGGATTTTTGTTTGTTTGATTCCTCTGGTCTGTACTGTACAAGTTGCCACTGCATTTCTGAATGATGTATATTCCTGAATAATGTAGATTTAGTTTTATTATGAACATTCCCTTTTACTTCCTATGGTGGTATAAAAATAGAAGAATATTGGTTTGTATGGTAGCGTTTGACCGGCTGCAATAAGGTATGTACTTGTTTTTGAAGTAAAGTCAACTACTTCAGAAGAGGAATAGAAATACAATCTTTAGCTCTGTTTGATTTCCTCTTCCTTGGAGAAGAATCTTCCCTAAAGCCTGTGGGCTCTAGGAGAATGACTAGCAGACCGAGAAGGCAGCAAGTAGCAGTATTTCACTAAAAAATAAATCAAAATGTGTGCAGTTCTATTAGGGAGACTTATATGTTGTTCTCATTATTTGCTGGGTGGGTAGTGCAACATGACCTGTAAAAGACGCTTCATAGTGACCTTTACATCTGTGGTAGCTTGTGGCAACTGCAGGTAGAATAATTTTCTGGCTGGCCTTACGTACACTGCAAGGGAATTCAAGACTTGCAAGATATACCTTGTATTTTCTTTGATTGCTGGGATGTGAGTGACTCCTGCTGTCAGATTTGAGCAAGGAACGCAACTCCAGAATCACAGACCGAAGGTGACTTGGGTTTCATTAAGCTGTCTTTCTGTAGTGGATAATGCTCTAAAACTACTGCTCGCTTCTAGCCCTTTTTATTTTATCTCATTTTTAGACCAAAGCTTTTGTTCTGAATATTATTATATTGCAGTAGCTATGCTCAAAATAGGGAGAAAAAAAAATTAAAAAAAAGACTAGCGGCAAAAGACAGGTTCTATGGAAAACATATGACATTGCCTGACTTCTATAAAAACAAGAAGTATGTAGTAAATATACACTGAAGGTGAAGGGATATGCAGCAGTGTGTGGAAGTTTCTAAAGACATACAAATTATGCATTTGTTCTAAAAAAAGTGCTCTCTGTTCTTTCTCATTGTTTATGTAGACAGTTGTGTAACAACCTATTCAGACCAGAGCCTATGGCGAACTGAAATACAGCACAGAACTGAAATACACTTCCTTCAAACAGTGCACAGAAAAGTGGCCAACTTGCACATTATAGTTTTAATTACTACTTCATAATTATTTTTCATAAATATTAAGTCATTTAATGCAGTTTTTGAAAAGAAAGTGCTTACTAGGAGAATACTCACCATAAGATACCGTCTATTCATAGCTATTGTGTTAGTATGCAGAAAGTCTGCTGTTAATATACAGTTATCAGCTGTTAAAATTCATGAGACATTCTGCATCGCTTCTTTAAAGCATCTAGTATTTCTGTGGAATTAAATAAACTAGAACTTATAGTATTTTTCCACTGTGTGCATTGTGACTAGAAGAAAAGTTCTCTGAATTGTATTTTTAAAGAAAGCTCTTCCTGTTTTACAAAATATTTGCACAGTTTGTAGCAACTGAAATAATTTGGTGAAAAATGTGCAACTTCTTACTCTCTTTGGGTTATTATCACTAAAACAAAATACCACTGGATATATTAAGCTGCCTTAATTGAGTTAGGTATCTTCTCCACCCGAATAGCTGTCAGTCTCTTTTTTTTTTTTTCCTTCTAGATCGGACTGTTAAGAAAAAATACTCATGCTGTGAAAATTATGGGTTTTATTTGCAAGACAGAAACAGATTTCTAAATCCTCCTAAATGTAGATTTATTTCAGAGAAAAACAAAGAAAATAAGAACATGGAAAGCTGGTGAGGTCTAGAGGCATTTCTCTGTTTAAGCTGCAAGGGATTTGTGTTAAACATTTGTTAATGTTTACTGAAGTTGGCTATATAAATTCTCTGTCTTGAAGAATGGATGCTTTCTACATATATGTTCTAATTAGCAATATGCTGCACCTTTGGCAAAAGGATTACTGATTTGGGTTTTTTTTTTCTGTTTTGAATACAGGAAGGTAGTATACCCTCACCATCTGGATATTTTGCATAAATGGTTTGTTTATTTTTAGAAAAAGCAATCTGGCTCTGATTTAATGTTTTACTATTAAAACACAAGATAGAATCTGTGAACGCAGGCTGATCAAACAAATAAAAGATGGCAACAAGTTGTCAGAGATACCACTGTAGAGTGCATTTATCTTCAAAGGAGTAGTATCGACTTTGGAATAGAAGACTTCAGTGAGGACATCAGAAAAGTTGCTTTATGTTGATTCCAGTAATACACAGATGGAATACTGGACAAGTTGTGGTTGCGTGGACCTGTTACAGCCATAGGAAATGAGAAAATGCTTGGTGGAGATAGAGCAGTATACTTTTAAAGAACACAAAACGAGCTAAAATGCACCAATAGCTTTTGCTTTTGAATTTTTGTTCATCTTTTCCTCCCCTCCAACCCCTTTTTTAGATGGCTCCTAGCTATGCTGGTGTCTACACTGTGTAGCATTGTCATCTGGTGGATTGTATGTGGCTCCCTTCTTCCCAGCCTTCTATTCTGTCTAGATGGTTTAAGAACATAGTAACCATCAGGACCCCCTGAGAGAGCCACTGTGTAAGTGTCCCATTCCATTTCTCTACAATAGCTCATGCTTGCTGTCAAGTATATCACATAAATGCATGCTCTCATATCATGTTTCTTGCTGGCTTTGTTGCAAGAGTAAATTTCACTTTCTCGCACTTTTGTCTTTTTGTGTGTATGATTTGAAATAACAGTGATTTTTATGGCTGGCTTGCTATACAAAAGGTGCAGAGCATTTATACTTAAGTTACCTCATAATTTTGAAGCCTTTCTTTTCTGTATGCTCTTGCAAATAATTTACGTTGCCTTTAAAAAGGAAAGAATAGTGTTTTAAAATTGATCTTATCCTTTGCATAGTGCAAATGAAAAAGTTAAAAACAAAAAACAACCCACACACCACACATTTCTCCTGTTTTACTGACTCTTATGGCATAGTAAAAATAATACCTTAGCAAAACCAAAGACCTACTGACATTTTTGAGAAGTTCTAATTCTTGATTTATCATGTGGGCAAAACCATCCTTTGGGAAACTAAGCACACTTACAAGTTAGTTAATTTCAAAGCAAGACTGGATTTTTTGTTGTTGTTGTTGTTTCTTTAAGACAGTGAGACATTGCAGTTTGGTCAAGGCACACACAATACTTCACCTGGCCAATCTGGCTTCATCTTCTTTAGTTCTTAATTGTTTTTCACAGGGCTTTGTGAGACTAGTTTAATCTCTTCTTTTGGTTTCTTAGATACAGGAGCTTAGATTAAATCATTATAAACGTAATAGTATTTGAGTACCATTTTCACTTTTTATTCCAATTGCATTTGTCGGTTCTAGCCTCCACTTAGGAAGTTAGGTGTTTGTCAAATGTTGTTTTTCATCTTTCAGCCAAGTAAAATTCCAATAGTATGCCAGACCGACTGGCAAAACCTTTGCCGCCCTACCTCTATGGAGGGTTTGAGGTTTTTTTGGAGAGGGGCAGAGGGTGCTGTTTTGTTTTTTCTTTCTTCTAGCTGTCTAATAAGCAAAGTAGTTACTATGGGAGCATGCTTGAGATGTCATTGTTCTCAGGGAAAAAGAAAGTGGTCAGAAGGTGTTTTACATCAGAGCGATAAAAAGAAAAGGCCTTTTCCCTCCGAGAACTCCAAAGTTAATAATTCCTTTCTTTCTCTTCAATCTTATGATTTTTTATTGTTCACACCTCTAAAAAGCAAAGAATTTATTCCTCTAAAGCAAATGATGCAATAACCAAAAATTAGAACTGGGGGGACTCAAGGGCATTTTAGCTATCCTTTTAACTTGAGCTGAGATAATCTGCTGTTTTTTTGTTGTTGTTTTTATTTGTTTATTGGGGGGAGCAGGAGGGGGAAGACTTAAAGATTAGTTAGCTTCTTTTTCTCGTAGGTACTGAACTTTGTCAAAGACTATTTAGACAAGAGGCTTGTTTCTCAAATTCCACACTGAATTTAACGGTAGCTTTTGTCTCAATATTTTATGGAATTCAAGTGTCAGATTTCTAAACACAGATTAAAGAGACAAATTTAAATTACTTCAAAAAATGCAACAATCTCTTCTTTTGTTCTTCTGAACTGTGAGATGAATTTCTCTCAACTGTCTGCCTTCCTCTGAACATTTCTATGTTCTATCTGAAAACTCCCTGGCAAGAAGGAAAGAGGAAAAAAAAAAAAAAAGACTGATTGATATTGGTAAATTTGTTGTTATAAAGAATTGTGGAAACTGATGGAGGGCAAGTAGGGTAATGAGTTGAGTACTGCACAGCTGGGTCTCTTGTATGTGTAAGGAGACCAGGTTATCAGTCAGGAGGTCTTGGCACCTAACTCTTCCAGTCAAGCAGGTCTTGATTTGTTTGAAGACCGCTATATTAGACTGAATAAGAAAGCAGTGTGTGAATCGATGGTGTCTGGAGAATGTGTTAATTTCAGAATGACTTAAGTGACCCTTCCATTACAGATCATCTGGAAATTAAAAATTCTTGGGATACACAAATTTTAGTAGTATACATATGATAGTATCTTGTGGAATGTGTCTAGGAGATTTTCTACATTTTTTTTGTTTGTTTTAATCACATCATTAAGTTAGGGTATCCAGTATACAGCAAGGTTCTTTTTCCACTGACATTTCTGGTGGTTCAGTTGTACAGCATGACATGCTGTTTTACTTGCAGAGTTACAAAGAGGTAAGGCAGGTGTTCTAAGGATCTCATTCTTCTCTAATATTGTGAGGTTTTGCAGGTAGTAAGATTTTAGGAGAATTTGCTCTACTGTAGTACCGTTCATGTTCATCACGAAATGTAGCTGCTGCTGTAAAGTGAAAGCTTTGCATATTAGGCCCATCTCCTTCACTTCATTCACCTTATAAACGTGTGGAATAACATTCGGAAAAGGCCTTGATGGCGCCGTAGCTGCGGCTGCGTGGGACACTGGTGCGAAAGGGAGCCTGGCCCTCCCCACTGAGCTGCGACAGGCTGGAGCTTTAGTCGGATTTAAGCACCATCCAGCAGAGCAGCTGTGTCTTGTTAGCAGGGATTTCAGTTAGTCTTTACTCTTGGGGTAGCTCTCTGATGGTTTATGTCACTTAGAAGCAAAACAACCACAGCAGCTAAAGAGCAAGGGACATGAGAGGTCCTACCATGCTCAAAGCTGGCCCTTAGCCAGCTCCTTCCCTCCCTGCCCTGCGGGTAAGCACAGCAGTAGAACAGTGGAATTGTATAGGGTGACTGTTCCTGTTAGTCACCCTCCCATTTAGAAATCTGGTTTCTTAATTTGCTCTGAACACAAAATAAGATTCTGTGGGAAGTAGAGATCCTTGCTTGAATCTCTGTTTTATGTCAACTAGATGAATATATAAGTGTTTTTGCAAGAGGATATCATAATACTGTAGCATTTTAGTTAATATTGATGGTTCTGGGGGAAAAAGCCTTATGAACTGATGTCCTTTCTGAACTTCTAGTGTCTGGGAAAAATGCACACCTGTAAGGGAAACAATTAGATCAGGCTTCAACAATATTTGCCTTGTTCTTTATATGTGCATTGTGTGGTTGTGTGTGTATACATATATACTTTTTATATATATGTCTCGAATTTAGTATATAATTTTATCTATACATTTATTTTTCCAAATAAATGTTTTATATTTTTATTTACACTTTTTAGACTATTTAAAAAAATGTAGCCTTGAAAAACATAAAAGCCAAGAAGAACCAAGACTTTATGAAGGCATTATTTTTATTTGAATCTGATTTTGACTACTTTTGAAAGTGCTGCTGCCTTCCAGGCTATATATGCCTAATTTTCTCTATATTTCTACAGGTAGAGAGTGTAAAATAGGAGGATTGTAAAGTGTGACAAAGTTGATTTCCTGTGCTTTGACTTACTGACTCAGATATTGTTAAAAAAAGCACATCTTTTTTTGTAGTGAAGCAGTGTTAGAGGAATGGGAATCACAAGGAAGAGACTTCTCAGACCTCTTGGTGTATATTCAGTGTTTAAATTTAAGGGGGAACGTTTCCTCCATATTTCTGTTTCCGCAAGAACTAAAAAAACATAATGTGTCGTGATTTGATTACATGCATATTTCAGTGACTAAATGTGACAGGGTTAGCAGCATGTATATCCTTGCATTCAGTCCTCGAAGTTGTTGGTGCTACGGTAAAACACAACACCAGGCGCTTTCACCGTTATTTCCATTATTTCCGAAGCTTGCTTCAAAATGTAACAGCTCAGAGTCTATTCATGTTGCCCAATGATCTTGGAAAAGAGAATTGTTGATATTAAAACTTGTTAGAATTGCTTCATACCAGCGGTGAACATTATAAAGCAAACTTTTAAGGTTTTGAACCATTTTACTTCAGAAAAAAAATAGAATTCTTCAGAAAAGAAAAATAGATTTTTGTTAGTAGAACCTCTATTGTCTCCTGAATCACTCTATAATTTTGAAGGTATCTGTTATTTGGTTTTCAGCCTCGCAAGTGCCTGATTAGGTTGAAATTTTCTCTATATTGTGTTTACAGTAACACCTTGCTGTATAAGTCCTTGCAACACTAGTCTTGTTTATCTTGAGAGAAGAGAATATTATTTAGTTTGGGCTTCTTACAGATTAAGTTACAAGATATGCAAGTCTGAAATATCAAGAGATTTCTCAATAGAAGTTTCAAGTACTTCATCTTTGTGATTCTGTAGTCACCCGTTTGCTGAACAATCTAGAAAAAGGCAGTAAGCAAGATTGCTGATCAGCTTTGCTGCTGCAGAATGGAGAAATGCAGTGCAAAATGGATTTTGAATTAAACCGTTAGGTCAGGCACGTTTACAGATTGTTTCTGTCACTAGTTTTAGCATCAGACCCAGGTAGAACAGCATTAGCTTAGTGCTTTTTTTCCCTTGCTTTTAGTACATGTGCCAAGCCACTTCCTTGCTCTGAAATTCCAGGTTTTGTGTTCATATCTAGAATTCTTTGAAAGCATTTTTTTTTCCCCCACAATATTAAGCAACTACAGTACAGTTTATATAACTTAATGAAGGCTTTGATTTTCCATCTAATACAATCTGCTGATACAGATGGACTCAGTGAAGTTGCTGAAAATTAGAGTGGTATAATAATTATGCATGACAAAAAGAATGAATTTTTAAATTACATGAATCTCTTACACGATGCATGTGTTTATAGTTGGAAGCTTGCACAGATAGAATGAGTAGAAAATAGACTTACAGGATGTTGCAGTAAATAGCGGTCTATTAATCATGCTGACACCAAGGTCAGTTTGGCCACCCGTTTAGGAAATAGTCAGTACACGCTGCTCTGGAGAAGCTGTTGAGCACAGCCAGAGTGTGAAGCTGCGTGTTAAACATGGTGCGATAATTCTCGGTTAGAGCAAAGTGTTGGTGTGTTCAGTGTTTTTGCCAGCTTACTGTATTTCAGGAGAATTTATCATGGTTGATGGTGGGACTTTTAAACTCTGATAGTCAGGAATTGAATTACTTTTTTTATATTTTATTTCTTAAATTTCTTTTTAGGTCAGGATTTGCTCTTTTCTTTCCCTTTTGGTACAATATACTTAAATTATGTAGTTTATAGTTTTCTGTTTGGCTGGTTGTTTTTCAGGGTTTTTGTTTGTTGTCTTCAGAAATCTGATAGTAAATTGCAACTATTTAATCTATTTTTGAAAGGAGAAAAAAATTATGAAAACAACTTGCATTAACTTAACTCTTGGAAGGGCATTACAAAGAGAAAGTTTGCTTTTTGGAATGATTTCAGGAAAACCGTATGAATGCTAGCTCTGCTGCAACTGTGACAACCTCATTTCACTGTTTTTCTAGAAACTTTCAGGTAATATAATCTTTCTCTTTTCCTGCTATTTTCAGAGTAATTCTACAGTCCAGTGTTCAGAAAACTAAAACCTCTGAACCTAGCATTTCTGACTGTACAGACATTACTAAAAGAACTACCAGGTCTGCTGCAAGAAAAAACAATTTAAAAAGGTGAGAGTTACCCTCTTTAAAGATCAAGACACCATTCTCTAGATAAATATGAGTTTATCCATTGATGACAGGGGCTTTTGCCCCAGTTTAACACCTTCTCCTAGTGAGGAGAAGCTAGTAACACTTACTTTTGTCATGCACTAAGGGTATCTGGAGCTTTAAATCTCATGTTGTTTGTTTATATTGCCAAGTCTTCAAGATTTTTATAATATATTTTTTAATGTAAGAATTACTGAAGGATGAGCGATGCAAATCCTCAGTAAATCCTAATGCAAAACTATACTTTAGCAAATCCCTGCCTGAAATAAGAGGAGAAAAAGTAGTTCACAGCGTTGAATGAGGTACTTCAAGTCAAAACCAAGAGGAATTAGATGGACAACTAGAATGCAGGAGAAAGAACAATCTGGCTGCAAACACTGGAAAGGTGAAATTTTTAAGATGCATATATTGGTATGAGATTTGGTAATGAAAGAGCAGCTAGAAATCCAAACTAAACCTGTGCTGTAAAGCTTAAGGAAATCCATACCTGGGATGGATTTATGCACAGCTGAAGATGCTGTTTGGTCAGGAAGGGCATGGCCCTGCTGCCCGCGCGCTGCTCCTGCAGGTGCTGAGACGGGTGAGCACATGCAGCGCACATGCAGCGCACATGCAGCGCACATGCAGCGCACATGCAGCGCACATCCCTGCAGCCCCGCTGTCCTCGGGGCCGCAGCACCCAGCCGTGCTCTCTGCCAGGACAGTGCCAGTGCCAGGTCAGGGGAACACGAGCGCTGCCGCTTCCTTCGTGGCGTTGTGCTGCTTTCGTGTGCTCAGGCATCAGCATGCTACAAAAACAGGGAAGTTGCACTAAACTGGCAAACACCAGCTAAGCAGATTTAACACTTTAAAGGAAATGGCGTTAAACAATTTCTAATCAGTTTTCAGCAGTTACAAATGACAAGAGTTCATCTTTGTGCTTAAAGTGATGCTGAAGAGAAACTTTCTTACCGAGAAGATTAAAAGGTGGCAAATAAACATTTTTCCCCCTCCCTTACAGCTTTTCTGTCCTCTGTCTTCATCCTCTTTTGAAGATAACAGGAGTTACCAGAAGCCCTTTCCATTGGGCAGTGGCAACACTGTGTTTAATCGCAGCCTGTAGGGATATGCTAGTCAAAGATTTTGACTAGCAGCTGTAGCAGCTAGTCTATTTTAATATAGCAGCTATATTAGAATGCCTTTTGATTCACATAACGATTTGTAAAAATTGCCTCTATTTGTTTTTTCGCTGAAACACATGTTTTACCAGAGTCTTGAGTATTTATGAGCATTTCTTGATCTGTCTCCTATTGGCCTTGTTTTTAACATGTCAGTTTTGGTCCAGACAAACTGCCGTGGTTCTTACTACTCTTCTTGCCTCTCCCAGATTTTAAGTTCCTTGCAACTAGGGTTTCCATATGCATAGACAAGATTACTTCCTGGAAAATACACTTTGGAGTAGGTGTTTTTGTTGTGAGAGATGAGAAATCTATTCTTAGGAAGATCTCTGCAATTAATTTCATGGAAGATTTCAAGTATTTTAAAAGTAACTCCTAAGTTGTATTGCCACCTTTATGACTGAGGAATAGGGATCAGGTTTTAAATGATCTCAAGCTTCATAAAGTATGTGATATTTTAATCTACTTTCTAAAGCTTCTACCCAATACTTACTCCATACACTGTTTTTCTTTTTGTTTGTTTTTGTTCTCCCCAACTTTTGAGATAAAATATTTCAAGTCAGTTTCTGTTTGGATCATGTCATCAAGGTTGTCTTAAATAGTTTTGTCACAGGCCAGGAGTTCTTAGTATCTTCTCATCTGACGGGACCAGTTGGTTGCATGTGCTTTTTAAGAGTATTTTGAATATGCTTATACAGTTTCATCGAATAAAAAAGCAGTACCTTCCTATTATCTTATTTGTGTTCTTTCATTTTCCCTGGCATTTGACAAAACCTCACTCCATTTTTAAGCCTACCATTTTTTGTCTCCTTATTATCTGAGATTTATTCAAAATTCCTGAAGTGTATTCAGTCTGTACAGTTTTACAGTGCTCAAACTGATTTATTCCCATTCAAATGTAGTGCAAGGTAGAAGAAAACACCTATATTTGATATTAGAAAGTTAAGATCCTGTCCTAACCTAACTTCTCACTCTCCTCAGGACCCTATTGCCTTCTCCAAATTTCTGACATTGCCATCTGTCTTCATTCTTTTATTTTTTTTGTCTGATGTGTTCCAGTGGAGTCATCTTTCAATATTTTTACATGAATCATGAATTGTTGATGCTGTAGCTCATTTTAGTCGTGTCTTTCTGTAGCTGCAGCACATCTTTGATTCTTCCTAGTGCAATGTAATCCGGCGTTCGTTTGCCATTTCATCCCCAAGACAGAGTGTATCCAGAACGATTCTTATCCTCAGCCAAACAGCTGTTTACAACTAAAATACTCTCTTCTGGCTTTTCAAAGGGATCTTGGGAGTTTCAGTCCCATTCATAATGTTCACTGAATTTCCTTTCTAGAATATATTTAGATGTCAGCTGCCATCTAAGAAGGATAGCACGTGTGGACATAATAGATAGTGTTTTGTGGCTGGAACAGTACCACCATTGAAGTGCAGAAAGTCACATTGCCAGAGCATTCTCCACAGTCTTCTCCTGTGGATGCCCTTTGCCTAAGGCTTGTTTGGCCGGTTCGCTGTGTGCCTTTTAAATACGCGACTTACAAAGGAGGAAAAGTTTGTATTATATCCATATACACGTACCAGATCACTCTAAAAACACATGTATTGCTTTCCTCTACTTTTTTTTTTCCTCTACTTGTTTTTGATGTTTAAGCACTTTTAGTGCATTCATCAATGTACTTTCTCACCTGGGAAGTGAGTAGGATCGAAGTAGTATCCCAAAATCTTAACTCTTAACATAATCAAGCGTTCTTGTTCTGCTCTGTCCTAAAACGCTTGGAGGGCTGGTGTGGCATCCTCCTTTTACAGCGGATGCAGAGCAAGCCCCGCTCTGTGCTGGGAGAGGAAACTGGTGTGTCCCGCACAACAAGGTGTTTGTGCTCCCTCAGACACCCAGAAAATCTCCAAACCAGCTGAGCCAAAATACAGCTCAAATGAAATGTTGTTCCTGTGCTGTTGCACACTGCAGAATTAGGATTGTGTCTGTAACGAGTAATTTATGGGGAATGACACTTTGGTGATGGATTTTGGTAGGTGGTAGAACTCAGTGAAATGAAGGTTAGTTCTTTTACAGGGAGGGAGAGGGGAAAAGAAGAATTTATTATTACTCTGGGAGAAAGAGAAAAAAATCTATGAAGCCAGAAAGGTGTATCACAAAAACTAACAAGGAGGAATATGCCTTGATAATCTAATATGCTTTTGCATTGCTGGGAATTATAAAGCAACCTTCTGCTCCCTTGTTTAACTGAAAATTGCCTGCAGCATTTCAGAGCTTTGTCTATGTGTAATCTAAATCCAGCTTTAAAAAAATTAATATTTCTTTACTATTCTTTCTACTTTTCCTACAGTCTGATACCTCAGAGGGAGAGAAGGAAAAGGAATGCTTTACAGCAAATGCGCTTAATGAAATTATGGTACTTTGAATCTGTTGCTTTTCTGTATGAAACGGAACCTTTTCTCATATTGTCTGTAATCAGACCAATCTGTGTTTTCTTTACAACTGATACTGCTTTGTTCTTGAATGCAGTGAAGTTTGTATTCTGTTTCTTTCTTTGAAATATTGTTGACTTATTTTACGTTGCCAGAAATGTTTGCTTGAGATGCTGGCTTTTGAGAATATATTTAACTTTTTTTTCTTCAAATATATGTTTTATCATTTCAGCAGCCAATCCGTCCCAAGGACTAGAACAGTGTTGCGTTAAATTTCAAATAAGCAACCAGTCTTGAAGAGAATATTCAGGAGTGAAAGGGATATCACTAGAAAGGACTTAATGCAATTCAAAAAAGAAGATTCTTTGTCTCCATATTTCAGCAAAGATTAAACAGAAAATGTTGTCCAATTTGTAGAATAAAATGAACTGTCGACCTGCTTAATAGACAGCTTCCTAGTATGCTAAACACTTCCTCAAGCAAAATCAATGAAATCTAACTGTAAATTTAGACTCAGGTGTAAATACATAAGCTCTCTATTATAAAGAGGGCTTGCTAGTACATATGATGCATGTGTATAACTGTGATGGCAATCACTTAGTTGCTGACCACCAGAAGTGAAAAGAGGGTGGGAGCTTTTAAAATATTTAAAGCTGTGTTGCCCATTCAGATTGGGCTTGGGCTGAAGTCTCCAGCAGAGAGTGAAACTCAGCTGAAAAGCCTTTATTCCCGTACTGTGGTCCTCTCCTGTGTTAATTGGCTGTCCTTTCTTACTCTGTATGCTTTTTTTTTCCTGTGAAGCTGTCATGTTGAGTATATAAGTAATTTTCTTCCACCAAAGAGTGCTTTATTTTCAAGGATTGTGTGTTTTCTTTTTTTAAACCTAACTGAAAGCAATTAAGTTGTTTTTAGTAGTAAAAGGTTTTTAGCTATTCAAAAACGATGGCTGTTTTAACTGGTTCTGTTTGCTTTAAATCTGGTGTAACTGTAATGGGGAGAAAAAACAGTTTACCACTTACAGCAGTGCTATCATGTTGAAATGTCATTACTCTTTCCTTTCCTGAAACTCTTTACTGTAACAAAAAGGTAAGATATTTTTCCCAAGTTTTATTGGTATGTTTGATAATGTTGGTGGTCATTGTTAGCTTCCTTTGAGACATAGTGAGTGCAACTCACAAAAAAGGGAAAACAGGATTGTAGAACCACTGAGATTTGCAGTGGAGCTCAGGGGCAGGCATACCATTTTTCTACAAACAATTTCCAAAAAACAATGCTTAACATCTGATTAACCCTTCAAAAACTACGGCTTACTTCTGTTAAAAAGCAGTCTAGTTTTTAGAGCAATCTGCTGAGACTTAAATTTTCTCCCCTTACAAGGCTATCAAGCACAGGCAATATTTTTCCCCTACCTTTTTTTGCTTTGTGAAGGCTGCAGGTTTACTCCTTGATGATGGAATCTTCTCTGCCAACTTGAGGCTTCATACCTGCATGTCCCTCAGACTAGGCTACGTGTTACCACATAGTCTTAACGTAGAATGCACCAACTAGTGATTTGGTGACAGGAGCAGAAAGGAGAGATCTGAAATGTTTTAGCAATAGACTACTATCTTAAGTTTTTAGAGGTAGATATAGACATAAATGTCTTTGGTAAGGGGGGAATTTTTCTTTCTATGAATGTAAGTGAGTATGCAAGTTCAAAAAGTAATCTCAATATATAGTTTAAAAAAAAAAAAGCTAAATTAGGAGGCTGGTGGTTTTTGAATACCATATGAGAAGTGCCCACTGGCTGTAACACATCTCCTTGAAGAGGCAGGACCCTGTGTGTGGGATGCATGGGGTGGTACAGGTAAAGTCTTTAAATATAGATTTTCTGTAACTTTGCAAATACGAATGCAAAGAAAACACAAAAGGAACCATAAGGCTTGGGATCAAAATGGTTCTTGTCTTCCTGTTAATCTTGACAGGAAGCACCTAAAAAACCAAGAACGGACTGCACCATGCTATTGGGTTAAAGCATCTTGGGCAGGATTTGATGTCTTGGTTCATTTGTTTGTTTGTTTTTGTTTTAAGTGAGGGCATCATTTGCCTCAAAAGCTGGTGTAGGTGACCACAACAGTAAGTATGTTGTGTAAAAGGAAATCTGTGAATTTGTTGTTTAAAAATGTTTATCTTGGAGTTTGTCAGTCAACTTACTGACGAATCTCAATAGGCAGAAGAGAAGGGTAAAATCAGTAAGGTTGGAAGATGAGAGTCAAATGAAGAAAGATTTAGGTATATTTATAGTCTTGGCTTTCTCTGCTACTCCTTTGATATGTAGAAATTCTGCTGAAAGGGATTTATAATAGTATGATATTTGCAAATATTGGATACAGAAGTAACAAATGTCATATTTGTCAAATGAGTTAAAAATAATTTCTGCAATAAGTATGCTTTTCTTGTTCTGAAACTAGGTCTGAGTATCTGATTATTTGCAAGTAAAATACAGATTATTCCATACCCCTTCCACACACCTATGCCCAAAAATGAATATTGGGAGGAGGAAAAGAGAAACCAAGATCACATTTTAAGTAATCAACAGAACCACTAGTACATGCAGGTTAATCAGAACATCAGAAATAAATTTGCATTAAAAAATGCACAAGAAATGCTAACAACAGTAGCAAATGTAACTAAACTAAAACTGCGTCTTTGGCATGAATGTGTTTCCACCACTGTTTCTTAGCAGAAACACATGAACGTCAAATGACACTTTGCATCTGAATTCTTCAAACAGCCTTATATGGAGAACTAATCCATTACTCATTGTGTCCCACCTAGTTGTATTGCTTAATTTGCACTTTGAGTTTTAATACTTTTGCCTTGCATTTTTATTACACTGCACCAAAGGTGTCTTAAGTACAATTATAAAAAGTGGGTGTGGGTGAGGACGTCCGTATATTCTGAGTCTTTCTTGAGTTGTAAAATACCATGTGCCAAAGGGAACGTGCGCACAGCAGCAGCTTTCGAGGTACTGAGTGGAGTTCCTGAAGGAAGGAAGTTATTTCTGAAGGAAGTTATTTCTGCTGTCAGCAGTTAGTAGTTTTTGGTTAAACTTTTAATTCCTCCTCTTCCTATGCGGTTTTGTAGGAGAGAGAGATTCTCCCTTGATCTCCTACACAAAAATATGTGACGTACTCAAATGCTGTAGCATCTTGGGTCAAATTGCTGGATTCTTTCACAGCATTAGTAACTTGCACTGAAGTTAAGCCCAAACAGTGTCTTTTTGCTCCAGTTAGATGATAGAGGAAGTGCTGCTGTTAAAAAACAAAAATGAGATTTGTAGGCTCATGCATTAAATGGAAAAAAAAAAGCAGTGATAGGATTGTTGCGCTGCAGTTTTTGTATTAATGGTTTGCAGACTGTTCGTCTTGTGTAAACTCATGTACAGACTATCAAGTTCTAAAATCTGACTAATCAGTACTGTTCATCCTGATTATTTTTAAATTGTATATTTCTAATCATATTTTTTTAACTTGGATTGAGTGACAGAATGGGAGTTTATTTTGCTGAAGGTATTTTTAAGATAAAGCTTCATATTATCTTGTAATATTAAGTAGTTCAATATGCATTTGTCTCTCATTTGAAAATACTGCATATTGTATCGGGTTTTATACCAAATATTGAATAGTAAAAATTGTAAACCTGAATTATGTAAAATTAAAGATAATAAGCAGAAACTTGTTTTCTCACTTTTATTTCCATCATTCAATGAAAAAAAAATGAAACAACAGAAAACACAACCACTGGGATATAATATTTGTATTGGTAATTTCTGGGACAATTTAACTTAACATGCTCTCTTAGAGGAGAAAAAAAAAAAAAAAAAAAAACTTACCTGCCTGAGAATCTTTAATTGAAATGCAAATCCCTAACAGATAACACTTTTTCTAATTTCAAAAATAAGTAACTTCTTGCTCCACACTTCAAGGAACTGCCTTAAGAAAAAGGGTAATTGTATATGAATTACTGGGATACTATTAATCAGTAAAATAAACCCAGCGAAACACACCATAGGGCCAGCTAAAACAAAAGGTCCTTGTGCCTTTTACCCTTTGCATCTTGTAGTGGTCATCTTTGGAAATTTGGGAGTTGTTAAATTCTGCATACTCTGATATTTGCCATGAAAGGGAAAGACTGTGGGAAAATATCAGTGCACATTTCTTAGCTAGAGCAAAACACAGTTAAGCTGTGGTTAGGGATGGCAACAGTACTGGCCCCATGGAAGGAAAACAAAAACCACGCAGAACAAAGCAAAGCAAAGCCCCAGCCTGAAAGTCACTGCTGGGGAAGATGTTTGCACAGGGGCCCAGGTCAAAACCAGGGTGTTACAGCCCTGTCATGGTGATTTGGCTGCACTCCTTCCAGAATGGGTTATGGTGTGATTTTGGCTTTATTTAGCCTCTTCAGTTTTACAGTTTCTGGGAGCAGAGCAAGTACCGCAGCAGAAATGCTGTGACACCACTTAAATCAGAAGAAACTATCTTCTCTAAAACGAAGTGGTGAAGAGTTTGTTCATGGAGAAGGTGTGTTTTTTCCAACAGCTTTCTCAGGGTGAAAACGAGGATCAGCCTCCTCATGCTCCCCGAGCCCACCACAGCGGCAAAGCCGAGGTCCTCCCAGCCCCACGGGCGTTCAGAACCCGCGAGGAGGACAAGGCCGTGCTGCCCGCATCGCCCCAGCTCCGTGTCACGGAGGGGTTCCCACCACCGTGGGCCACCGCCCTGTGCGCGGCACCTCCGTGCTCAGCTCCGGCTCCCACCTCAGCAGGAGGCCCAGGCCCAGGCCAGGGGCTGCAGCCAGGCAGAGGAGCCCAAGGCCGCGCAGCGCCGCCCGCTTCCCTCCCCGCCTCCCTCCTCACGCCATGCGCAGAGGCCAGCGGCGGATGCGCCACCCGTGGCCGGTCCTGTGCA